TAAAATGAGGTAAAACCAACTGAAAAAATACTGCACATAGTATATTCTGCTTAAATTGAACTTTATATTAAGTAAATGAATACACAAACAAATTAAATTTATGTAATGACTTGAAAGTAGCATATCATTCATCAGTAAGCATTTGCCATGCACCGTTGATGGGCAGTGTTCTTACTACTGGGAATTCAATAGTGAACAAGGTATCAAAAAATCTTTGCCCCCCTGGAACTTATACTTCAATGGGTATTACTACTATCTGAAGTTAATTCATTCTTTTGAATAGTTTCAGGGTCATATCCTCCATACACATGTATATACACACAGATAAATGTAGGTACGCCAATAAAGAGAACAAATGCCCAATAGAAGACAATGCAGCAAGCTACAGTGATAATTAAGAGAAAGTTAATGCATTGTTGAATTGAAGAAGGGCAAATAAAGTTGAGAAAAGCAATCAAATAGCATTGTTTTGTGAATTTGTGAGATTAGATTTAAAGCAGAATGATTAATAGATTGTATGAAGAAAGAAGTGATTTACGCTTCACAGTAAGTTAAAATATTATTGAACACAGTTAATTGAATCTAAGATTGTTGCCTGACTATATCTGACCAGCTCTATACTTGTAGTAATGGAAGACTACTTCAGTGCAGTCAGGCCCCTGGACCATTAACATGCTTAACTCTGTTTCAGTAACTTAGCAAAAGGAAAAGACATGCAGGGAATATGTTTATGCTCTGTATTCCTACAATTGACTTAGATATTAAACATTATTTAGTGTTACTCAACTAAAATTAAAAGCTAGTAACTAAGTGCAACATTGAGATAAATTTCTGTGTAGTGTTACTGTGGTATCCATAAGAGGCGTGTGGAACTATATGTTCCATTCTGTATGTTCTACTTGCTATATCTCTTCTCTATTTTTTTTTTTTCAATAATGAACAACTATATACCAGAGACATTTTTTTTAAAGATTTATTTATTTATTCATACAGAACTAGGGTACAGGCCAGAGATGCAGAGGGTGAGAGGATTCACCAGAGACAGAGTGGGGTGCAGAACAGGAAGATCGATGAAGTACACTGCTGAGGGGAGCAGCGGGCGGGTCAGGAGAGGTCTGCCACGCCATGTGGTCACCTCCCGGGCAGGCAGGGATCGAACTCATACGGAAGTGGTTTAAGCTTCTTTGTGCTGTGCTTTAACGAGCTGCGCCACCAGGGAGGGCCTCTCTTCTCTATTTTTATAGAATTTGCAATGGTTAAAAACAGACGCTTTTCCAAAACTTCATTAATGGTAGCCATATTATTCCAGATTAATAGTCACTAATGATTAATAATGTACATTTGTATTGGTTAATTAATTTGTATTATCAAATAAAAATTAACTTTTTCAGTTATGAAAAATACTACTTGATATGCTCCCTGTCTCACAATGGAAAGGATCTTTTTAAACCTATTCAGTCAAAGAAGGTTGGCACTTATAAGAATTTCTTCTATCTTATTAAATGGGATGAACTGTAAGTAAAATTTATGACTTTTTGTACTTTTAGTATGACCTGTTCTTTACTTTTTTCCATGTATGAAAACTACCTTTCATTTTCATTATAATTTTTATTAATTCATTAAATTCCTACTGATGTCTTAAGGTTTGATCTAGATACAATTGTGTAGAACAGATTGAAATTCTCATTTAAAAATCTGAAATATAAGCCCCAGGGGCTTAGGGCTTAAGTCTCAGTCTATCACCTCTATGACCTGAATTCCAGGGAGAGAACCCAAATGTGGTGTAGCAGACTTCCCGCATTCTGGCTGCTGCACCCATTAGCAGTGTGTTTCAGAAATTCCACCTATTCTGCTACCAAATTGTCTCTGGGGCAATCCTTCCTCCCTCTATCTGGGGAGTCCTCTCTTTCTCACACACACACATGCCTCTGGCTTAGAACTTCTGGTTTTTGAATGAGTGAATGAATGAATGAATGAATATATATTTTTTGAATCTGATACCCTTTAAGTCAACATATTTTTATTTGTAGAAGCATTGTATTCTTCTTAGACTTTGTCAAGGTAAAAATAAGTTCACATAATTTTAGAAAGATGTTTTTGTAATATTTCTTAGTTTAGTATTTATTCTGTAACTGCATGTATGAAGCTTAGTTCTTGGCTAACACATAACAAAAATGTTAAATCCATGAAGAAGATATATTCTCCAGTGTTAATATTTTTAAAATATTGTTTATAAAGTAAGGGAGTATTTCCATTATTGAGGCAGGTAAGCAGTTTCAGAACTCTCTATATTTTCTACTTTTATTAAATGTAAAATAACTATTTGTAAAATAATTCTGAATTATAGAAATAATATACCTGTGTAAGCAAATAGAGAAATGCATATAGTATAGGAAAATGTCACCTTATTTTCAGTATTTACCATCCCATCTCATCCTTAAAGTGACCTCTGTCTTAAAAATTAAAAAGCACATTGGCAAATACATATTTGTGTGTGTGTGTGTATGTATGTATGTATTATGTACATAAATGCCCTGAATCAAAAATACTCATAAGTGGTCATTTACATTTCCCTAAAGTAAATAAAGATCACTGTTATTTTTGGTAGAAATTGACATTGAATTTCTTGACTAAATGCAGTTAAGAAATCTTTGAAGAAATGTTACCTATTTGAAATTTTAAATAAATTTGTTTAAGGGCCTCCCTGGTGGTGCAAGGTTTAAAGTCTCAGTGTTATCAAGCTATTGCCAGCCACTGTGACATTAATTTGATCCCTGGCCAAGGACCTCACCCACGTGATATACGGCAGGTCTCTTCTATCTTACCTGCTGCTCCCCTCAGCAGTTTATTTAAGTAAACTACCTCCCCACTCTGTCTCTGGTGAATCCTCTCATCCACTGCACCTTTGGCCTACACCCCATTTCTTGCATGCATAAATAAATCTTTTTTAAAATTTTTTGTTAAAAGATTTAGATAAGTTAGCAAACCTTGTAGTTGGCAAATGGTTCTCAGGAATAAAGGTTTATTTGATAAATAATATAACTAAAATTGTTGCTTTCACTAAAGAACTAAAATTTGAATTTGACCTAATTTTTTTTCTATTATATATATTTCTCTCTGTAGAATAATTTTTCCCATCCAGATATCACAATTGCCATTAGAATCACTTCTTCACCTTACACTTTTTGGAATTTTAAATCAGAGCAGTGGAAGTTCTCCTGATTCTAATAAGCAGAGAAAGGGGCCAGAAGCTTTGGGCAAAGTTTCTTTACCTCTTTTTGATTTTAAACGGTAAGTGTAACTGAGTTGTTATGGTAAGTTGCTGTGGACATATCTGTAGCATCAAAATTGGCTAGTGAACAGGGATTGGAACACTAATACATGAAATAGTCAATTGCCTCAATTTTTCTGTGATGAAAGGAGGTCCCAGAAGAAAGCTATATTATTCTGCTGTGGTTTGAATAAATCTATATGGAGACTCAAAAGATTTTGCCATTCACTGTTCCAGGGAAAAAGTAATCAGTTAACTCTTTAACTGTTATTTAAACAATATTATTGACATGATACCATGGTCCTATAAGTACTCTTGATATTCCTGTTCCATTCCCACCCATTTCTAGTTTTAGAGAATCTACTACTGTACATTATTATTTTTTCAGTTCTCTTTACTGATCCATCCTTACTGCTCTGGGCCTCTGGACTTTAATCTCCAAATTTTCACATGTTTGCAAAAACTTAATAAGGGACAAAGGAATTCCTTTTTGAATTTTATGTCTCCTAGTAGCCACTGGGATAGTGTAATCTAGCTGGCCTCTCAGCTGAACATTTTATTTATATTTTAAATTAAAATATGTTCCATGAGACCATCAGGAATCTTCCTAAATGAAAAAAATAATTGAGTGATTTTGGGATTTGTTTCATAACATTTTAGAGAGCGATAACATATTAAATGTAATCCAAGGTTCTTAGTCAAAAAACCTATTTGTTTAATAACAATAGTAATTTTAATAATAAACATGACATTTACTATATGTTAGGTGTTGATCTAAATTCTGTATATATTTCATATATTCCAACAGTCCTATGGACATACATGTTATTATCCCTTTTTACAGTGGGGGAAGTCAAAGTACAAAGAGCTAGGCTCTTTCCCTAGGCTACTTAGCTAATAAGTGGTAGAACATATTGTTTATGATGTGGTTGTACTCTTGTTTATGATGGTAAAAGTCAGGGAGTATTCTGTAATCCAGCCTAAATTGGGATATATTCCTTTGTACATGACTTTCAAAGTTTATTCTAACTTATAGTAAGTTGTTTTGAGGCAATCCTAAATCTGTACCCATCCTCATTCTTGATTTCTGTCTTTAACCTCATTACTCCCAAGATAATGCTTTTTCATTTTCCCTCCTTTTGTGCCAGTTCACACACATTAATAAATTTACTGAAAAGCCTCGGCACAGTATAGAGATTGGCTGCTTCTTATATGTTCTTAAAGGTGACATTCTTTTTACATACCTAAACTTTTATATACGTGTATAAAGGTTTGAGTATGAACAGTTCAAATTCATTACCATGTGTTTTGGAGTTTGAGATAATTTTTAAAGTGAAAACCACAATATTCTTCTGTTTATATTCATGAAGGTTTTTAACATCTGGAACTAAACTTCTATATCTTTGGACTTCTTCACATACAAATACTATTCCTGGAACAGTCCCCAAAAAAGGATATGTGATGGAAAGAATAGTGTTACAGGTATTGATAATTTCTTGACATGGGGAAATTTAAATTTCTTTCTAAAAAGTGTATTATGACTTGATTGGGTTTGTTAATAAAAAAAGCCTTGTTCATCTTGTTTCAAACTTAGAATCTGCAGTTTAAATTTCAGTAAATCATTTCCTGTTTCTGATAAATAGTAAAAAAAATGCATTCTTATGCATCTCAAATAATATATGTGCTAGACTATTACCGCAGTGGTAATCAATGTCACAAAAGAAGCACTGATGTGATATTCAGTCTCAAATCTACATCAGTTTTTTTCAGAGGTAAAGAAATTATTATGACAAATACAAGGATTAAATTAATTAGATTGAAACTTTTCTTAAACGTTTAAGGTTGATTTTCCTTCTCCTGCGTTTGATATCATTTACACCACTCCTCAAGTCGACACCATCATACAACAGCACAACTTTGAAACACTGGAAAATGATATAAAAGGAAAACTTCTTGATATTCTTCACAGAGACTCATCATTTGGGTATGTTTCTTTGGTTCTGTTTGGCCTGTTTTGATTCTGTTTTGTCTCTTATAGTATAAAGCCCAAGTTTATGGTTTATTAAATGCTCTGATTTAATGACTTAGCAATATTCTTGGTATGGTGAGTTTTCTATTTTTGTTTTTATTTATATAAAAAGACTATGATTACATAAAAGCTAAGAAATTGTACAATTCAAACTTTCTACATGATTACAAGACAGGAAAGTATTTCAACAGTAATAGATTAACTTCCATAAATAGAACTTTTCATATCAATACAAAATACCACATCTCAGTGGTAAAGTACAGAAAAAATATAAATAGGTAGCTTTTTTGGTAAAGAAATACTGTGTCTTTTAAACATCTGAAATTATGTTCAACCTCTCAGTAATAAAGACATGTAAATTAACAAGAGGTACCATTTCATATTTCAGATTGATGACAATTAAAACACCTTATGTAAAGTGCTAAAGATAAAATTGGAAATTATACACTGGAATTTTTTTTTTTAAAGATTTATTTATTTGTACATACAGAACTGGGGTATAGGCTAGAGGCTCAGGGGTGGCAAGAGGCTTCACCAGAGACAGACTGGGGAACAGAACAGGCAGATCGAGGAAGTACACTGCTGAGGGAGCAGCGGGCGGGTCAGGAGAGGTCTGCCTCGCCATGTGGTCACCTCCAGGGCAGTCGGGAATCGAACTCATGCAGAAGTGGCTTTAGCTTCTTAGTCTGTGCTTTAACCTTCTGCGCCACCAGGGAGGGCCCCTACACTGGAATTTTTAAATAGCTTTTAGAATTGACCGTCAATGATTTCCACATACTGTAGAAACAATAAATATGGGTGTATGCCTTGGGGTCAAACTTGTCTTTTGGGGAAAGACTGTCATTTGGCTTTTGTGCCATTTGCATTCACTCTGAATTCCAAATAGCTTGATTTGGGGAGATGAACGGAACCTCATCTAGCTTTCTGTTGACTACTAATGCATTTGGGGAACTTCATTTGGCAACAAGAGTTAGAAAAGTAAACCATGTAATGTTTTTTGGAAGATAAACAGGGATGGTTTCAAAGATTGGGTACCTTTGAATTTTTTATTTGCCCTTTAGGATATATCAAAGGGGAACTGGATTAGAAATGCAAATCTTCATGTGTAATTCTAGAACTACACCTTAGCCTCTGAAGTAGTAGAGTGTTCTGTTGGATAGGTACCCATTTAATGTCTGTAAGACATTAAATAAAACAATTTCTGTTAACACTCAATGGTTCTTTGACCCAGGAGGCCCACTTCAAAGTGCCTAAAGTGGAAACCTGCTAATACACTAAAATACCACTTAAACAGTGGATGTGTAAATTACATTACTGAATGAATGAAAAGCAGATACCCCTAAGAAACCTAGGTGTTTTTTATTAAAGACATCTGAATCAGTTTCTGATGTATTTCTGAATTATAGTGAAAATGAATAAATAAATGCTTTGGAAGGACAACTTAGCAAAAATTTATGAAAGTCACAATATGCATAGTCTAAACCCAGCAAGCCTTCCGATTATATATCTTAAACAAATCTCTTTTATATTTGCTTCTGGAAACAAAAGAATATTCATTGTGTAATTTATTTAAATACGGTAAAGCTGGTTCAAAATATCCATCAATAGTTAAATGATGGTAACATTTATCCAATGGAGCACTATTAACTAATAAGAATGAAGTGGTAGCTATCTGTACTAATATGTGAGACAAGTTTAGTGAAGAAAGCAAAGAGTTGACATATATATAGTGTGCTAGTATTACTATGAAGAAAAAAATCTTATATGTCTGTATATATGCTTTTTTATGAATAGAGTAGCTTAGGCAGCTGCCACTAGGAAGGGAATTGGAAAGAGGAAGACTCATATACCTTTTTGCAATATTTAAATTTTTTTCAGTACTCTTCATGAAGTGAATATATTACAGTATGTGTGTAATATATACAAAGGTACATGGTTAGATAATAAAAATGTGAAATATTTTATTCACATAACATTTGTCATTAAGGTTAAATTAGAACCTCCAAAACAAGCCCACTTCATTTTGAGTATTTATCATTTGAACTATATCTGAAAATTGTGTAATAACATCGGCTTTTTACATAATCTTTGATTTTACTTATACAAAATGGACGAAATCTTTGGTATTCTTATAAAGCGTTCTGCTTTTTCAACTTTGATTTTAATGCATGGTATCTGGTTGGGCCTCAATACATTTTTATTAAACTATCCTTAATAGTTTAATAACTTTTTTATAACTACCAAGAAATAGCTGCCTTTAAATGAATAAATTTCTTTTTTGTATTTTGAATTATTGAAATTATAACTGTCATTGTGATACTACTGAGAAGTGATTTAATTTTGTCATGTATGCAGACTTTCTAAAGAAGATAAAGCCATTTTGTGGGAGAAACGTTATTACTGTCTGAAACACCCAAATTGTCTTCCTAAGTTATTAGCAAGTGCCCCAAACTGGAAATGGGTTAATCTTGCCAAAACGTACTCATTACTCCAACAGTGGCCTCCATTGCACCCACTGACTGCATTGGAACTTCTTGATGCAAAGTAAGTCAACTGTGAATGAATATTTTTGATGTTGCTTATCAGTTTTTCCAGAAAGGAATAATGTTGCATTGAGACTATTTTAAAAGGCATGCCATGCCATGCCATTTAAGACTAATCTAAAGAGAGTTACATTATAAATTTTGAATAATTTGTTTTATTTTTATGTTTTAGTCCAAAATTAATTTTATAAGCTTAAGAATTCTAAACAATCCCAAAATTGAATTTGTGTAGCACAGCAAGATTTTCCCTTTCCCACCTCTCCTCCCCAAGGAAAAAGAAGAATGAACCATTCACTTGAAATAAAGGGCTATTTGAGTATTCTTTGTCAGGAATAGACTGAGAGTGTATTTTCAGGAAATAAGAGCTTCTCTAGTAAGAAATCACTATAAAATCTGACCTGCTATATTTTTCCAGATTTGCTGATCAGGAGGTGAGGTCTCTAGCAGTGACCTGGATTGAGGCTATTAGTGATGATGAGCTAACAGATCTTCTACCACAGTTTGTGCAGGTAAGTTTTTTTTACTAGTAACTTATCTTCCTCACTCTCTCCCCATTTTTTATGAGTACGTATTGCTAATGGATCCCATTTCTGTTTTGATTAAAAGTAATTTTGTAGTGTGGGAATGTTGAGGTGAATTACATTTGGATTTAATGTGATTTCCCTCCACCCCATATTGTCAGTTGACCTACTTAAATATTATTTATCTATATCTGCATGTCTCTATAATACATACATCCATATGTATATCTACCTACCTGAGTTTGTAAATCTCGGAACTTTTAGATTTTGAGAACAAGCCAGATGAGCTTTTCTTTTTTTTTTCTTTGTTGGCAATTTAAATGTAACAAATGAATTGTTATCCCAAGGTCTATACTTTGCTTCTTGGTTTCATTTAGTGGATGTTCATTTCTTTCAATTTTTTTATCAATATCATCTTTCATCAACAGGAGTAATATTTGCTTTATATAGTATCTCTTTTGACAGTTTTATCCTAATAATGTGGTATGATTTTGACCACCACTAATTATTTTCTTTCATATATAGGCTTTGAAGTATGAAATTTACTTGAACAGTTCATTAGTACGCTTTCTTCTGTCCAGAGCATTGGGAAATATACAGATAGCACACAACTTATATTGGTAAGATTTAAATTTTCTTTCTTTTTTTTAAAGACTTGTTTTTATTTATTTAGGCATACAATAACTGGGGTATAGGCCAGAGGTATGGGGGGTGGATTCACCAGAGACAGTGGGGAGCAGAATTGGCAGATCTACTGAAATATACTGCAGAGGGAACCAGTGGGTGAGACAGGAGAGGCCTGCTGCACCATGTGGGTCATCTCCATGGTTGGGGGGATCAGTCTCATGCATAAGTGGCTGCTAATAGCTTGATAGTACTGAGACTTAACCCCTTGCACCACCAGGAAGGCCAAGATTTAAATTTTCTTTAAAAAAGTATTAAAAAGAAGCTAAATTTTAATGTTTTTAGAAATAAATCCAAAAATAACAAGCCCTCTATTGTAAAGCTTTGTGGCATGTTAGAGCTCTATGATAATGAAGATGTTCTTATGTGCCTGTGTAGCTTAAAGTAAATTCCTAAATAATCAAAAATTGGGAGTCTCTCTGGTGACCTAGGGTTTAATAAGTCTTCATACACTCACTTCTATGGCCTGAGTTTGATCCCTTGCTAAGGAGAGACCAACATATGGTGCAGCAGATCTCTCCTGTCTCACCTGCTGTTCCCCTCAGCAGTGTATTTCAGTAAATCATCTGTTCTGCTCCCTCCATTCTCTAGTAAGTCTTTTCACCCGCTTCCACCTTTGGCCTACATCCCAGTTCTTCTATGCAAAAAATAAATAAAAAATTCAGCCTGTTACATTGATTTTTGAAAGACATTCATCCAGTTCTCAGAAGTGGCTAACAAAAATATTTTGCTGTATTAGGCTCCTTAAGGATGCCCTGCATGATGCCCACTTTGGTGCCCGTTATGAATATATTTTGGGTGCTCTCCTCTCAGTAGGAGGAAAAGGTCTCAGAGAAGAACTTTTGAAACAGACAAAACTTGTGCAGCTTCTAGGAGGAGTAGCAGAAAAAGTAAGGCAGGCTAGTGGATCAACCAGACAGGTATGTACCCACAGGGAACATAAATAGTTTGATTTTAAAGAATTTTGTAGTACTGTGAAGTTGTAAAATGTTTTTTTGTACATGTAATAGTTTTATCTTCATTTGAGTTGTTTCATATATTCCAGGCACTTTGCCTATCTCTGTAAGTTGTAGAATCACTTATTTTTTTTCCTGCAGAATAATAGTCTGCACTATAAAAAATAAACAGTTTTATTTTTGGTCTCTACTCCATTTTTATCCTTGTGCCATCTTGTTTTCATTATATAGTTTTACAGTAAGTTTTAAAGTTGGAAAATAGGAGTTCTTTAATTTTTGTCCTTTTTCAGTATTGTTTTGTTTTTATTTGGAAGTCCCTTGCAATTTTATATTATTTTAGAATCACTTGTCTATTTCTGCAAAATAATCATTGGAATTTTGATATCATTGGAAAATTGATAAAGGATTTTATTGAATTTACATCAGATTTGGGAAGCACTGCATCTTAATAATTATTTCCAGTTCTTGAACACAGAATGTCTTTCCATTTATTTAGATCTTTCATTTCTTACTGTAATACTTTTTTAATTGCTTTTTTAGCTTCATCTTGGAGCGCTCCTGTCAACATATAGTTACACTGTCAGTGTGTGTGTGTATATAGTTTCTCAATTGGTACATAATATTACAAGATATAGCAGTATAAATTATAAACCATTATTGTTTATAATACTATATATAATTTGTACTGTTGTTTAAATGTTTTTCTTTTGTTCAGAAGTCCTGTAATTTTTGTCTCTACTCATATTTATTTCTATGATAGTCTTGTAAGAAAGCTGAATAGTTATAATAGCTTATATTAAATTGCACTATCAAAAAAACCCAACTATGCTCATACACCTCCTTAACAACCCCCACATAATTTCTATTTTTTTGTTAGTGAATTTTAAATAAAAAAGATGATCAATGTATTTCCTCTTCACGCCCATTTTTTAGCCATTACCCTTTCTGGTTATGTTTTATAGTATAAAAATTGTGTAGCCACAATTTTTTCACCATTTGAAAATGAATAGTTTAAGAATTGTGTTGACATCATAATTTTATTATCCTAAAAACAGGTTTTTCATATGTTTTCATTTATCTTTTTTTCAAGGTTGTCCTCCAAAGGAGTATGGAAAGAGTACAGTCTTTTTTTCTGAGAAATAAATGTCGTCTACCTCTCAATCCAAGTCTTGTGGCAAAGGAATTAAATATTAAGGTGACATAAAATACTTGCAACTTTGTATTATATTTCAAAAAATGTGGGAAGAAAGCAAGTGGGCTGGCATACTTAAGGTAGATAAGGATATAACCTGCCTAGGTTGGCTTTATTTGTGGATGTTTGTGTAAAAATTCATGTTCAGTTTTATATTTAATCATTTTCATTTAATCAACATTCCTGAAAGTAAAAGATGTAAAATTATTTACTGCCTCAAAATTATTTTTTTTTTATTATGGAATAACATATGAGCGGTATATGTTGTAATTCCACTGATAAAACCGGCTAGTCACAGATAGCCATGTTTTCTTCTTCTCTTGTGAAATGTTACATCTATAGGCTCTTCCCAGTAGTATATAATACCTGTTGAACTTTTAAAAAGTAGTTGAGTAATTATCAAAATTGAGTAATTTTACTTTAAAGTAAATTTTACTTTACAAGTAGTGGATTTTCCCTAGCTTACATTCAGCAAAAAAAAATCAGTATGTCCATTAGTGTCTGATTTTGAAAAAATCCAAGGTATAAGGAAGAGAATCTCAAATTTGAATTTTAAGTTGCTTTATGGCTACTATTCATTGAAATTTAATATGGGGTCTTGAGTTTTTGTAATCATATCATGAGAGGGGATGATTTATATTTTCCCCTTGCTTTTTATATGTTCGCTTAAATTGGTTGCAGTATGTTAAATTTGTTTTTAAACACATTTCATTTAAAATTAAATTTGATCTTTGCCATTGGAATTGTTAATTTTGGTTTCAGTATCTGACTTCCTGCCTAATTACTATAGTGACACCATACATAGGCAAAGTAGAGATCTAATCCCAGATCACACATTTACAGGAAAGAATAAGAGTTTATAAAGTTTTGTGCTCCATTGAAAAATTATCACACTTTTAAAACTTAAACTTTTAATACTTTTTGGCTCAGGGTTTTAAGTTTTTGCTTCTGTCCTTGAGAGCAGATGATATATTGCTCATATACATCTAATCTGACACATACTCTAAAAATCAATTCACATGTGTCATTTCAATATTTCAGTTAAACAAGTATGTGGTGGTAAAATTTCATAAGTCTATTTTATTCCATTATTATTGTTCTAATACTTAATGTGTTGTATTTGTAGTCTTGTTCCTTCTTCAGCTCTAATGCAGTGCCCCTAAAAGTCACAATGGTAAATGCTGATCCCATGGGGGAGGAAATTAATGTCATGTTTAAGGTGAGCAAAATAAAATTATTTTTAAATTTAAATTTAATTTAAATTTAAGTTATTTTAAAATTTAATTTAAAAATTATTATCTCAACTTTCATTTCCAGAATTACAGAAGCAGTTTTGTTTACTTAATATTTTACTAAATTGAATAATTATTTGAAAAACTGTTCACATAAACTGTTCCCAAACAGATTTGGGAACAAATGCATCTCTTAGCTAAAGCTGTTCATATGGTGCTGCTGGTTGAACACATCATAATTCCAGGCAGTGCCTTTCATACAGACTAATAAGATGGATGGTAGCCCTAGAGTTGTGCTGTGTTAAACTGCAAAGCCAAGAGATGTGGCAGTAGTTTTAGGAATTATATAACTTCCCTGTGGGAAAATTCAGGAGTGGAGTACTACAGAGGAATCTGTTGTCAAAGTCGTATACCTTAGCCTAATTACTACTGTTTGAAGGAAGATTGGAGAGTTCTAGTTAATTCAGTGAGTCTGATTAGTGGATGTTCATAAATGTAACATCTTTTGAATCAACTTTAATATATATACACCAAGCTCCCAAGTATTCAAATCTAGTTTTGGACTCTAATCTTTCTGATCTTTTTGCCTTTTCCTAAATCAGTTTCATTGTTTGATTATTGAAATTTTATATATTTAATAGTTTAAGATTTACTAACGCATATTATTTTTTTTCCCACAATTTTCTTGAATAGTCTCAAAGACATATTCATCATTACATGTCTTAAATTTATTCCATCCAATTTAAAAGTGGAAATGAAAACTTGGTCTGATTCCAATTAGAATTAGGAATTTTAGGAAGGTTAAGGATTTTCCTTTAAGTAAACTTTTTTCAGATAATTGCAAATTCAGAAACCATTAATAAGCAATTATACAGAGACCCTTTCTATCCTTGACTCAGTTTCCCCCAGTGGTAACCTCTTAATCTGGTTATTGACATTGACCCATTCAAGATATGGATTGTCCCCTAAATTGGCCTTTAATACACACATATAAAAGCCAGTCCTTTAAAATTGGGAAACTGAGACATGAAGATGTTAAATAATTTTCTCTAGAATGCTGCTGAGGAATAAAGAGGCAGTACTGTTTATCTCATTCTTTCCTTTTTTTTACTGTTCTACACCCAACACCCCTTTTATAATATATAATCTATGAAGTCTTTTGGAAAGGTACAAGTTTCATTTTGTTACCTTGATTTCAAGGTTGGTGAAGATCTTCGGCAAGATATGTTAGCTTTACAGATGATAAAAATTATGGACAAGATCTGGCTTAAAGAAGGATTAGATCTGAGGATGGTGATATTCAAATGTCTTTCAACTGGCAGAGATAGAGGTACATCTGTTACGTTTTTTTTGCTTTGTGAACTTAGTTCAGAGTATACCTGCCCTAAAACAAGACAGGTACACAATGATCCCAGTTTTTATTATTTTACTCTAATGCTACTCTATTGATTGAGTTGTTCATTTTCATTGTTTGATTATTGAAATTTTATATATTTAGCCCTGACTTGAGATGTTTTGCTAGATATCCAGTTGTTAGCCCTGACTTGAGATGTTTTGCTAGATATCCATTAATTGACCTAATAAGGACTCTTATTAGTTCGTTTTAGAGTTTTTCATTTAAAATTAAAGTCAGGGCCCTCCCTGGTGGCCCAGCAGGTTAAAAAAACTGCACTGAGAAGTTAATGCCACTTCCGCATGAATTTGATCCCCACCTGCCCTCGAGGTGATCCACATGGCGAGGCAGATCTCTCCTGACCCACTTGCTGTTCCCCTCAGCAGTGTACTTCATCAGTCGGCCTGTTCTGCTCCCCACTCTGTTTCTGGTGAATCCTCTCACCGCCCCTGCACCTCTGGCCTGTACCCCAGCTATGTATGCACAAATAAATCTTTAAAAAAAAAATTAAAGTCATAGGGTCTCCCCAGTGGTGCATAGTTTAAAGTCTCAGCACTGTCAAACTATTACCAGCCACTGCAGTATGGCATGAGTATGATCCCTGGCCAGGTTGCTAACCCACATGGTGCAATAGACCTTTCCTTTTCTCACTTCTGCTCCCCTCAGCAGTTAGCAGTGTATGTCAGTAGATCTGTCTGCCCTGCTCCCCATTCTGTCTCTAGTGAATCCTCTAACCCTCCTCACCTCTGCCCTACACCCCAGTGATTGTAAGCATAAATGAATAACAATGAATCTTTAAAAAATAATAAAATATTAAAGTCATGAGTAAGTTTTGGTTTTGGTTTCATTTCTTCAATAAATAGAGCATACTTCATTTTTTTTAATATAATAATTTATTTTTACATCATTTTGTGCCTTTTTCCATCTCATTTGTAATCCCATGGGCTTCCCATCACCAAATCACCCGTGTGCCATCACCATAGACCAGTACACTTCCGTCCCCCCACCGTTTTTGATCCCATTCCCCATTCCACCTAGTAAAATATCTCTGGTATATAGTTGTTCATTATTATTATTTTCTCGACTGGTCATTTATATTTCTGCTATGAGGGAAACCAGTATTTTTCCTTTTCTTTCTGACATTTCACTAAACATGATCTTTTCCAGCTCCACCCATGTTGCTGCAAAAGGCATGTGTTATTTTTCTTGGTTACTGAGTAATATTCTGTTGTGTATATGTACCATATCTTTTTAATCCAGTCATCTATTTTTGGGCATTTGGGTTGTTTCCATGTCTTTAAAATTGTAAATAAAGCATCAATAAACATGGGGTGCAGGTGTCTTTTTGAATCAGTGTTTTTGTGTCTTTTGACAAAAATCCCACAAAAGGAGTGGGATTGTTGGGTCATATGGAAGCTCCATTTTTAGCAGTTTGAGAAACCTCCAAACAGTTTTCCATAGTGGTTGTACTAGTTTGCATTCCAACCAGCAGTGCAGAAGAGTTCCTTTTTCTCCGCATCGCATCCTTGCCAACATTTGTTGTTGCTAGTTGTTCGAAGATGTGCCATTCTCACTGGGGTTAGGTAGTATCTCATTGTGGTTTTAATTTGTATCTCCCTTACTACAAGTGATGTTGAACATTTTTTCATATGCTTGTTATCCATCTGCATTTCCTCTTTGGGGAAATGTCTTGTTAGCTCTTCTGCCAATTTACTGATCAGGTTGTTTATTTTTGTTGAGTTTCATCAGTTCTTTGTATATCTTTGTGGTCAATCCTTTATCACTAGTTTTGTGTCAGAAAAATTTTATCAGTGGAATGTCTTTGTTGTTTGTAATGTCTCTTTTGCTGTACAGAAGCTGTTTAACTTGATGTAGTCCCATCTATTTATCCTTTCCTTCACTATTGCGTTGGATGCTGTATCTTCAAAGATGTCACTGAAGTGTATGTTGTGTAGTGTTTTGCCCATAGCAGACTTCATTTTATTTATTGAGTAAATACTCATTTCATACTACATATGTTAAGTGTAAATGTTATGTACACATTATGATGAAATATTAAATAATGTTTAATAATACCAAATTTATTACGTATAAAACACCCCAGTTTTGACACACATTAACTGCACAATTAGTTGTAACCATTATCATTATTTTTACTCAACAAACGTTTGTTGTGTATCTACCATATGCAAAGTGTTAGTACCTTGTAGTGCTTATTATATTTAAGGAGAGAAATTAGAAAATGCTTTAATAAGTTAAGTGCTCTAAGAATAATAAAGGCAGTACTGTATTGTTTTAAAGAGGGGAAGTACCATAGTGGTTGCTGTAAATGAGAAGTGCTTCATATACTTTCATCATAAACATTAAGAAGTTACTTGAAAGATTATCTTACATTCCTTCTAATATTTGCCATTCAATTTATACTTAAATGTCTTACCCTAAAATGCCAGTGAAGGATTTTCACTGCATTTCAAGGTAGTCTATCCTATCTTGGATAACTCTGACAACTGCATAGTTCTTTCTTATATTCTGGTGAATATCTCCTACCCTGGATTCGTCTTCTCATTAGTTTCACTTCTGTTCACAGACTATTATATAATTGAGTCCTTTTTCATGATAATCCAGTATTGTGGCCTCTGATCTTAACATCCAAATTCTTCAACCATTTGATTGATTTTAAGTTACCAAATCACCTCATTGTTCTCACTGTAAAGTGCTCAAGTGATTCATTGTTTCTAACAGTGGCACCTGGATTTTGTAGAATATAGAAGGAGGTCAAAGTGTTAGAAATATGGAACTTAATGACAAAACCATTAAGTCTTCATCATACTAGCTTCTGCTAAATCATGCCTGGGCATTCTATACTTGTACATTTTGTATCTTAGACCTAAGTATAAGACATTAACTTACTTGATATATTTGAGCCTGTTGAGTTCTTTTTAAGAATCTGATTTTTGTTACCTATCATTGAACCTCTTCGTTTTTTGAACTAGTTTGAAGAATATATGTTCTATATCTTTTGCTGAGTCATTGAAAAAAATGTTTACTAAAAAAAGACCAGTGACTATCTCTGGCATGACACCAGAGATCTTCCTTTAAGTGATTGTTAAATCTTAAATCTTTACGTACCGGATTCTACTTGCTTACTCACTGACTTCATTGTGTTGAAGCCCAACCACTCTACTTTTCTCTATTTTATCCATCAGAACACTACGAGAGCGATAGCACTTTCATTTGTCAAATTGGAGTGTACTATAATACTATAAATGTTACCATATCAAAAAGGAAATTGTGTAAACTTAAGAATTCTTGTTTGTTTGTTTGTTTGTTTTCATATAAATCTTGTAAGTTGAAGTTATTTCAAGTGAAATTTCCCAGTAAGAGCCACCATGTCATTTAGATTAGTTTTTCTCTCACCACATTTAATTCATATAGTTGAACTTCTAGTGGAATTCCATGTAACTTTGGAGACCATCAGGTTCCTCATTTTTATGTTGTTTTGAACTAATGGTTGAGTGCTTACTTTTGCCTTGCCCTTGTGCTGTTTTTCAAGTTGTATTATCCTACTGTATTTTACTTTGCAAATGAAGAAATTAGATCCACATATGTTGCAGTTTTTAGCAAGTGTACCTTAGTCTGTAGTAATACTTCCCTTTTGCAGATTCAGCAATTATTAAATTCGTATCAGACCTTTATGACATATTTTATATCCCTCTCACTGTATTGATTTCAAGTTCCCTCAGGATGGGGACTATATCTTACATAGTAACACTTTGAATATCTTATGAACTTTGATCTATTCTTTTGTACAAAGTAATATGTATGTATGTGTTTGATTATGAAATTAGAAATTTGTGTGTATATTAAATTTTTCATTAGGAATAGTCATAGAATCAAGAAGGTATTCTTTTAAAAAGAATGTCACTGAAAATTATGAAATATATAATGCAACCAAAACATCATAGAAGATCCAAATAAGTCAATCTGCCAGATGTGACAAACTACTAAGATTACAACTTGACCTTGCATCCTTTTTTTGGGGATGATCTGGAGGTTTGGGCTGACTTGGTTTCTTCCAGTTTTTTGTCTGAAACAGATCTATGTAACCATATCTTTTCAGTGTATCACTTTGATTATTAAAATGTGTAAGACTAATTTTTAGTTATATAAATAGTATATATTTACATCCACACAGGGAAGTATCATATAGCATATAATAGAATAACTTGAGAAGTCTTAGTTTTCTCTCACATCTCCATTCTTAATCCTAGGCATTCTACTCCCCAAATACAGCCATTTTGTAGTTTTCTGAGAACAATTTATATATAGTCAAGCATGCACAATAGTCTTACTTTAAATCCAAAGGTGTACTGCCCATCTAAATTATGTCTTTAATATCATATTTTTGAGATCTTTCCATATAAACACATAGTATTTTTTTCCCAAAAGACTTATTTATTTAGGTATACAAGAACTAGGGTCCAAACCAGAGGTGGAGGTGTGTGAAAGATTTACCAGAGAGAGTAGAGAACAGAACAGGCATTGCTGAGGGGAGCAGCAGGCAAGGCAGAAGAGGTCTGTTGTGCCATGTGCCTGGCCTGGGATAGAACTCATGGTGCAGTGGCTGCAGATAGTTTCCTAATGCTGAGACTTAGCCCCTTGCTTCACGAGGGAGGCCTCTTGGAGCTCTTTTTTATTTTGTAAGGATCATGTTTAAAAAAAAAATTTATTTATGCATACAGAACTAGGGGTACGAGCCAGAGGTACAGGGAGTGAAAGGATTCGAGGTGCAGGGAGTGAAAGGATTCACCAGAACAGAGTGGGAACAGAACAAGCAGATCAACAAAGTACACTACTGAGGGGAGCAGTGGGCAGTCAAGAGAGTTCTGCCACGCCATGTGGATCCACCTCAAGGGCTGGGGATCTAACTCGCACTGAAGTGACTGTGGCTAGCTGGCAGTGCAGCATCCTTACCTGTTGTACCACCAGGAAGGGCCTCCCATTGAGCTCTTTTAATGCTGAAATGGCACAGCATGTATCTTACAAGTATTTGTTAATGAGGTCATTATAATCTAGTTTGTATTAAAATTTTTTTATCTTGGAGCTGGGCTTTAGGTGGTAGCACTGAAGCGACATATACTAACGTCTCAAATAGTCAAGTTCAGTTTTTACAACTTGGATACTTACAAAAATAAAAAGATATTTTAATAGCTGTCATTTTCTAGATTGAACTGTGGTCAGTCTTGATTTTTTTTTTTAAATAGTAGTTGCTAACTGGTATCTTAGGTCACATACTGAATGCAGGAAATATTTTTAAGCCTTACTTTTGGGAGACATTTTCAAATGACTTAATATTTTGTTGTTAAAGGCATGGTGGAACTAGTTCCTTCTTCTGATACCCTCAGGAAAATCCAAGTGGAATATGGTGTGACAGGATCCTTTAAAGATAAACCACTTGCAGAGTGGTTGAGAAAATACAATCCCTCTGAAGAGGAATATGAAAAGGTGATTAGCATGTCTCCTTATTCTAAATAACTGTCCACAATGTCTTTCATGGGTTTTAAGAGCTTTTCTTTTCCTGCTCTGGTGACTATTCATTTTCAAAACAACATCTTCCAACTAAAGAAAAAAGTATAAAAATGGCAGAAATTTTGGTGAAACCAATACTGTTTAAAGAAAGGTATTTTTATAACCCAGAATGTTATATTTCACGAAGATTGTGGATAAAGTTATAAAAAGTTTTTCATGTGGCATTTAAGAGCAAATTATGGGCCAGCATCACATGACTTAAGTTTGGGTCCCCAGTCATTTATCTACTATGGATCTTTGGGCAAATTATTTAAACTTCTTTTTTTTTTTTTTTTTTACCTCAGTGACCTCTTCTGCATGATATTATAGTATGTATTGTGGCATTATAACTGCAGAAATAATGGTATTGTAAGAATTAAATGAGTTGATATATATTAAGTACTACATAGACTAAATTGTATTGATGACTATTTTTACTCTTGGAGGAACCAAGTTTTTATTTTAGCATACTTTTGAATTACATCGGGGAAAGGTAACTTTCATAGGACTTAAGGCCTCTAATGAGCTTTAATTAGCCTAAGGAATCCTCAAGAACATTTTTTAATGTTGATGTAAAATCGGTCTTAATGTCATTTTCCTATTTTATGTTAATTCATTAATGTATCATATTTATAGATACATATTTAAAAGCTTTTTCTGTTGACCTAAAAAAGAAAGCAGAGTAGAGGAATTTTATCCTTTGAAGATCTTTTAAACTGTTTGAGATCACTCCTGTTTCTTGCTCTTTGTGGGTTGGGTAAAACAGTGAGCAGAAGCCAGGACTTGTTTATAGTAATGTTGGCACTTTTGTGATTTCAGTTGTTAGACACAAAATAATTGTCAATTAACATATAGTGAGATCCTTTTATGCATATGACTCTTTTATGTAATTTACTAAGTAAGAGGGAATAATAATAAGAGGGAATAATAGAGTTATATTATCTGAGTTTGAATATTGGTTCTTCTACTTAACAGTTATGTGATTTTGTACAAATGACCCGTTTATTTCCTTTATATGTAAAATGACATAATAATAATAGTACCTATGTCATTCTTTGTTTTGAGATTTTTAAATGTGTTAATGTATACAAAAGTGCATTCACACATAATTATATATTTGTATGTGTGAATACACGAAATGTGTGTGTGTGTATGTAGAGTACTGCAATGCCTAGTTTGTGATAAGTGCTGTCACTAATAACTGAAGGGATTGCGAACTGAAATTTACTACGTGAAGATGTAGAAAGATGAATGCTTCATTTGGAAATATGGGATCTTGAAAATGAACTAAATGCACATACTTTAGATAAAAATATTGTTTGTATGCATCTTGCAATATCCTTCTGTAAGATATTATGTTAATAAGTGAAGACCCTTTAAGTGTTACTTGTCCTGGGAATTAAATAAAAGTTCTTCAGTTTTGAGAAACTTAGAAGTAACACTTGAGGAGTCATCAGATGGCCCACAAAACACATTAATTGTGTTATTGAATGTTTAAAAATATAAACTCACCTTCTTTATACATGCTATCCTATAAGTATTCTTGCTTATGTTTTATCTAAAAAGGATAAGCTACTCTTTTATTCTAATAAACTTGCTCCAGAATTACTTGAGGTAAGCAGCAAAATCTTTGAGGAACAGAGTTCTACAAACTTGATGCTTACAGAAAGCATGTACCCTAATAGGAAATGGAGTTCCTGCCATTAAAATCAACAGCTAGAGGAAAAGGCCATTAACCACCTTTGTTCTTGAACTATGAAAAGATTGGCTTTTAGTACAAAACCTGTTTTATAAACTATTCGGAAAGTGTATTATAATAGTGTTTTCAAAGAGTGGTGCATTACATTAGTCTTTGTAAACCATGACTTCTTTAAACATTTTTTTCATAACGTTTGTATCACTATTATAGGCTTCTGAGAATTTTATCTATTCTTGTGCTGGATGCTGTGTAGCCACCTATGTTTTAGGCATCTGTGATCGACACAATGACAATATAATGCTTCGAAGCACAGGACACATGTTTCACATTGACTTTGGGAAGTTTCTGGGCCATGCACAGATGTTTGGTAGCTTCAAAAGGTACTTATATTCTGCTTGTTAAAAAGTGTTTTCTAGCTCATGAATTAACATTCTAAGCCTTACCTTTTCTTGCTTTGACTTTTAACTTCCTTTGAGTATAACTGGGGATAAAAAAGACCCTAAGAGATTAATTACTATGTAATAGACAAAGTGTAAATGTGTAGCCATTTTTGAAGTTAATTAAGGTGTATTTTTCTAAGTGGTACAAAAGATGTTCCCATTTATATAATGGCAGTGGTACAAAATTTTTCTCTATGTTGTGTTTGTATTGACAGTTTGATCTCTGGGTGTGTAGATTTTATATTTCACCTTAGAGGGGGAAAATCACATGGAAGATCTAAGTAATGAGATTATTTGATATCTTTCCTGAAAAGGTTAATTTTTAAGAAATATACAAATTCAAACCTCAGAGATTAACTTTTCCAGTTGGAAATTGCTATGACTTAGTAGTAACTATGTAATAGCAATAACACTGTTAACTTCTGTAAATAATACTTTGTATGTGCCTTCTTTTTAAATAGGGATCGGGCCCCTTTTGTGCTGACCTCTGATATGGCATATGTCATTAATGGAGGTGAAAAGCCCACCATCCGATTCCAGTTGTTTGTAGACCTCTGCTGTCAGGCCTACAACTTGATAAGAAAGCAGACAAATCTCTTTCTCAACCTCCTTTCATTGGTAACTGTTCTTTATAAGCATATAATTAATGTTTCTATTTTATTATTTTAAAATAGTATAAAGTAATACAATTTCCTGTAGTTCCAATGTCAAGTATATTACCACCAAAGTATTTTTTTTAAGGCTATTATATGAAATATGCAACTCCACTACATAATAATACAAAAAACAGGCCACTAGAGTGGCTACTCCAGGTGAGGAGTAACTAGAAGGGAGGTCATTTGGGATGCTGGTCAGTGTTTTGTGTCTTAATCTAGATTAATGTGGGTTGTGGACATTCATTAAGCTATGCACTTTAGATTTCTGTACTTTTTTGGCTATAAATTAAAAAATCAGAACAAACCCACAGTGATTATTGTAACTGAAGTTGATACAAAATTAAGAACTATACAGAATTCTTGTTTTTAGCTTTTATTCCACAAGCTGCATTTGTGACTTCCAACATTTGACTTTATTGGACATGATTTTTTTATTTATAAAAGAATTATTTGGTTCAATAAAACTCTTAACAGATGCCTCCAAACTGATTTTTTTGAAATTTTTTTAATTGTCATTTTTATTTGCTTTAATTCTGATTATCTGATTACTTAACCAGCTTTCATGGATAGTTGGAGAATAGACTTATTAGAAATTTAGCTTAGTAATTTTTATTCCCTTTCTGTAGATGATTCCTTCAGGGCTACCAGAACTTACAAGCATTCAAGATTTAAAATATGTGAGAGATGCGCTTCAACCACAAACTACAGATGCAGAAGCTACAATTTTCTTTACTAGGTAAGGCATATTAAAATATATTAGAAACGACATACAGTTAAGCATTCCTTAGTTTAAACAAATATTATATAACATAGTTCTGATTTGCAGGAAAAGGTTGATTAGAAAATAATGGTGAGTTTATTTACTGAATAAATGTAAAGGACTTGCAATCGCACCTTATAAAGCACATTTATCTCAGAGTATCCCAAGGGACTATGGGTGTTTTGGTAAAAAGCATGGTGCCCTAACACACATCTTGAAGAGGTGTGAACCTATACCCCCCAAATCACATATGGTATTGTAAACCACTGTTACCTCAAAATATGTGTGTGTGTGTGTGTGTGTGTGTGTGCGTGCATGCGTGCGTAATAAGTAACACAGCTGAAGCCAGGGGGGAAATTACATGTGATAGAAATGAACTATCAAACCGTGATATGTAAATATACATAACTAAATGAATGATGCCTATCTGGAAAAGCTACCTACTGAGTGATAAACTAAAGGACATTCTGGAAAAGGCAAAATTCTGAAGACAAAAAAGGAATCAGTACTTAGCAGCAGTTGAGAAAAAGGAAGGATAAGTAGACAGAGGACTGAAGATTTTCAGAGCAGCGAAATTATTTGGTATGATTCTACAATGGTAGATACTTGTCATTCTGCATTTGTCAACACATCAAATGTACAGCATCAAGAGTGAACCCTAATGTAAGTTTTGGATTTGGGTGATAATGTGTCAGTGTGGGTCACTGATAATGACAAATGTACTGCTGCAGGTGTCTGGTCTGCATATCTATGGGGGAATTTAGGCTCAGGTAGGAGCAGGGAGGATAGGGGCTTTCTGTACTTTCTGCTCATTTTTTCTTTGAACCTAAAACTTTTCTTAAAATTTTTTTTAAATGACTTCAAGGTTTATTTAGTGATTTTAATTATAAAAATCTTATTTAAGAACTATTTATATGAAACATGTTTTCTGCCAAATACAGATTTTTTTTCCAATAAGGATATCTGTACTAATCTATTTCTGCCATAGCAGTTTTCTTGGTTACCTTAAGCAGCTTAGAAATAGCAAACCTGGTTTACTGGATAGTAAATTGTTATTACCTGATGTAGTACTTGAAACACATATACCAATGACTGACATTTGATAAAATCAAAATTTGATTTTATTGCTTTAAAATCAGAACTTCTAATAAATACAGTCTAAAAGTCTGATGGCTAGGTTGGTCACTGACTAGTGGTACCACATTTTTTTAATGCCACTGCAGGGAGGGGCACATAAGCTCATGTTCTTTTCTCTCTCTCTTGCCTTCTTCCTCTCAGTGGAGAAGAGGTAGAAAACACTGGACTGGACTTCCCTAGTCTCAAGAGTCTGGGCTGAATTGAAGGAAGCTGGCTTTTGTATAGCCTTCCAAACTAATCCTGATAATTTAGGTATTGGTGGGTTTTGTTTTGTCTTTTAAGAGATTCGTTGGCTCCCATGGGCACAACTGTAAAAGCAGGCATGTATTAGTCTGCTTGGGTTGCTGTAGCAAAATATCACAATCAAGATAGCATAATCAGCAGAAACTTATTTTCTCTTAGCTCTGGAGGCTGGAAAGTCCAAGATGAAAGTGCTAGCTAATTTATTTCCTGGTGAAAAAGCTAGCTTGTAGCTAGACCTTCTTGCTGTTTTCTTCAAATGAAGGAGGGAAAGGAAGAGAGAAAGCAAAGCATAAGCTTTCTCTTCTCTTCACATAAGGACACTAATCTTACTGGATTAAGGCTCTGCCATTAAAACATTACCTCTATAAAGGTCCTACAGGGCTGGAGCTTTAACACCTGAATGTGGGGAAAAGGCGCAAAGGACACAAAAATTCAGCCCATAGCAAAGTAAAGAAAGGTGTGGGGGTGGTTCTCTCACATCCTTTTTGATTCTTCTTTCTAGATTCTATTTCTTATTTCTGAGACTTTTCTTGCTTAAAATGTTTTTCCTGGTTTCCTTTCCAATTTATGTTCACCAAACTTCTTACCCCATCAAAATTTATTCTCTCAGCTTAGTGAAATTGAAATCATGATTATCTGAAGAAGAAAGCTTGATAAGAGTTTATTGATGATCTTCTGATCGAAAAGATTCTTTTTAATTTGGGTTTTGCCTTCTTTCCCTGTTTAGTTGTCACTGTTCCCCATTAGTTACAAGGAAATAAAATAATGAAATCCTCCTTCTAGCATTATACCAATTATCTTCTATCCCTAGTAATTGTATTTTTTTAATTATGCATACAACAACTGAGGTACAGGCCAGAGGTGCAGGCGGTAAAAAGACTCACCAGAGTTAGAGTAAGGGGAAGAACAGGCTGAAATACACTGCTGAGGGGAGCAGCAGGCGAGACAGGAGAGGTCTGCTATGCCATGTGTGTAGCTCCCTAGTAATTTTTAATTAGCCTTGGATACCATGCAGCTCAAGAAAACCATCATCTTGGGGACAGTGGGATGGAATTGGAGACTTTCTTGCGCTAAAAAAATTTTTATACGTTAATGAATTTTTGGCTTATAGACAAAGGGAATCTTTGGCAAAGTGAGAATCTGCTTAATATTTTCAAAGTTATGAAAGTGGTTTTCATCCTTTATAATGTTAAAAAAAATGTGTGTGTTCCTGAACATTTACTTGTTAACACATTTTCTGATTATTTTTTAGGCTGATTGAATCAAGTTTGGGAAGCATTGCCACAAAGTTTAACTTCTTCATTCACAATCTTGCTCAACTGCGATTTTCTGGTCTTCCTTCTAATGATGAGCCCATCCTTTCATTTTCACCCAAAACATATTCCTTTAGGCAAGATGGTCGAATTAAGGAAGTCTCTGTTTTCACTTATCATAAGAAATACAATCCAGATAAACATTATGTAAGTTGGGTTTCAATAATTCTGTACCCTGCGTGTCCTGTTGTACTTCTTTACTGACTCTGCTATTTTGTGTTTATACTTATTTCTTTTATGGCTGGTCCAAATATAAATAAGTAGATGTACCTGGAGCATCTCTAATTTTGGAGGAGAGTATGGTGTTTGTTTCTTGATAAATTTGCTTGGGGTGCTGTGGATATTCTTCCTTTTAGAGACAAGGCTTAAAAGGGTAGTGCTATTCTTCTGTTCTCCTTTATCTTCAATTTTTTAATTTGTTCTTAATTTTAAAAGTAAATCTTACTCATTGTAACAAATTCAACAAATATAGAAGCATGTGAAGTAAAAATCTCAAATACTCATTTTACTCCATAAAATATAACACACAAATGTAGTTTGTTTTTTTAACAAAAACAGGATTGATCTTCAGTCTGTATTTTTCCACTCAATAAGTAGCATAGCATTACTGTCTTTTTACTTTTATTGTGTACCATTTGCTATTATTTTTGTTGGTGAACACTTGCCAGCGTTAGTGTTTAAATTTTTGACAAATTGATAAATTTTGAAGGTGACTACAGTATTATTTTAATTTTTACCTGTTATCTTATACTGTTGGTAATTTTTTTAATGTTATATTGAATGCTTTTTCCTAGCACCATCTCACTGATTAGTCTATTCTTTCCCCAGTGCTCTGTAATGCCAGCTTTAACTATACTAAGTTTGTATGTACACTTGAATTTTGTTATGGTCTTCCTTAGATTTATCTTTTCCTGTATTTTATTCTTTAAAGTACTATGACTATATAATAGTTAAAATATCCACTAAAACAAGTTTTCCCTTATCCCCCTGCTACCATATACTTTGTTTTTTTCCCACTTAATACTCTTAAATTAGTGAATATTTTCACTGGAAATGCACTAAATTTATTAATTGGAGAAGTAAATTTAATACTGGAAATAACATGGTTTTCAATTTTCAGCTTATTATGTTCATCTCTCTAACAGTGTTTATTATTTCTGTTAGGCTAGCGTTAAATGTGCTATAAATTACAATGATTATATTGTGGCATATATACTACCAAGTTAAAAGCCCTTGGACTACTTAACAACAATCAAGCCATAAATTTTCTTTCTGCCAGGAAAGGAGATTTTATTATAAATGTAATATGTTTGGGGTATGATTTCTTTTCAGATTTATGTAGTCCGAATTTTGAGGGAAGGACAGCTTGAACCATCATTTGTCTTCCGGACATTTGACGAGTTTCAGGAACTCCACAATAAGCTCAGTATTATTTTTCCACTTTGGAAGTTACCAGGGTATGTTCCTAGCCTTATAAAATAATCCTTCCTTTTAGGAAACCATTTCTTTATTATAAAATCTAAGGTAAAACTTGTATTAATACTTAGTAAGGTACTCTACGACTTACTTTTCTATTACAAGGGCCTAGTGAAGTACCAGGCATATCAATAGACAAGTAATTCAGTGTGAGTTTGTTGGATAAACAGTGAATTAAATGATCAAGATCTTAAAAATTGTTGTCTACCATAATAAAACAAAACAAAATAATAATTTAGAATCTTGGTTTTAAAAAGTCAGATTTTAAATCACTGCTGAAATAATCTGTTATGGTCATACTGAACTCCTCTGAAAAATAAGTGGAGGCAAACTTATTGAGACTTTTATCAAAATATAAGTGCTCATTTTATAATTTTTCGTACCTTTTAGAAACCCTCAGTTTTTTTTTTTTTAAAGTTTATTTTTACATCATTTTGCACATTTTTTTTTCATCTCAATTGTA